CTCTGCCTCAACCCTGCATGCACCTTGCTCTCTCACTCTCTCTCAAAATAAATAAATAAACTTTAACAAACAAATAAACAAACCAAATTCAGCCTACCTGGCACGGACACCAGCCACTTCCTATCTGTTCAGGACCTCTGAATCCCCCTCTGTATTTGTGGTTCCCTAGCCAGGTTGGAGAAAGGATGGGAGACAGCTTGCCTTACACCTGAAAGGACACTGGACTCAACCCTATCCTCATCTAAGACAATGGCTAATTAGTCACTTCAGCATTTTACACTGTCGAAGCGATCTTGCTTTATTCTTCACCGAATCTTAGTCTAGAGAGAAAACCACGCTACGCTTCTTCATTTTACAGACAGGCAAGCTGCAGTCAAGAAAGGTTTAATCACAACAGGATCGTCAAATTATGACGCTGTCCACCTTAAGCCTGCACAGTCCCCTATGTCAACTGTATTTCCATTAAACTGGCGGGGGGTGGGTGGGGAAGGCTTAGTCACTTGCTCAAGGTGAACACAGCTGGTTACTGGCTCGGGATTCAGACCCGACTCTGAACTTTCATTTCATTCCCTGTAGAGGGCACATAGCTCTGTGGATAAAGCATGGGAGGCTCCTCCAGGAGGAATCCTCGTGTGCCATTAACAAGCTGGATGACTTCCTGACAGTCATTTACCCTCTTTGGGTCCCAGTTACCCACTCTATGAAATGGGTGTAGTAACACCTTACCCTCTTCACTCAGTGTTGTCATAAAAGAGATGTGAATAAAGCTCTACCCCCCGAACTGGTCTTCAAGGGACTTCTCGCGTGCCCAGGGCACAGGCGCCTGTCTTGTTCGTGCCGGTCCTGGTACCTGGCACACTGTGGCACTCGCTAAACACACGGAAGGGGCATGGCAGGCAGAAGAGCAAGGACAGGCAAAGGGAAGGGACAGAGGAGAAGGAAGAGGAGAATCGACTCTCCTTCCCGTGCCGCTCCGGCCAGGCCCATCCCAGGTGTGGCCCAAACCAGACACCTCTGCTGGGGATGTGGCCCCACATGGAACCCCTTCCTATCCTCTCCACCGAAAGAAGTCCCCCCCAACCTTGTAGCTCTTCCAGGAAAACCTTTAAGCTTATTCCTTATTCTGCAACCCACAGCTACCACTCAAAGCCAGGCCGCCACTGCCTCTCATCCCAGGGCCGACAACCCCTCCTCCCTGGCCTCCCAGCTTCCACCCAAGCCCACAGTCCGTTCCCCAGCAGCAGTCAGAGGGAACGTGATAAAAACCTGAATCGGGGTGTGCCACGCCTCTGCTTTGGACCATATAATGCTTCTCGACGGATCTCGAAGTAAAAACAAAACCCCAGGTCCTCCCAGTGGCCCCTGCTGGCCGCTCTGAGCTCAACCTCTGCCCCTCTCCCCTTTGCTCACCTGCTGCTGCCACAGAGGCTACTTTGCTTTCCCAACCCACCAAGTTCGCTCCCGCCTCAGAACCTCTGCATATGCTAGTCCCTCTACCTCCAATGCTCTTCCTAAGGCTGGTTCCCCTCAGCTGATATGCAAACCAATGAATGAGTCAAAGGAGAGACAGAGGCTGGCAAGAAGTTACAAAAGAGGGCAGGGGGCTGGAGAGGGCACGGTGGGGGTGAGGCAACTCACCAGGTGACCATTCGAGCCACGAGGCCCTTGGGCGGCTTGGCTGGCACCATCTCCTTCTGGACAATGAAGTAGGGGTACAGCACATCAACGGGAAGCTCCACAAACACTGGGCCTGTGGAGGGGCAGGGAGGATACTGAGCCTGCCATGCCTCCCTGGACCCAGGCCTTAGGGCCTGACCACCCCCCCCCCCCCCCCCCCCCCCCACCAACTACCTGGTGTCCCCGACTGGGCAGCCACCATCGCAGCCCTCAGGGTGGGCACGATGTCCCGCACCCTCCGCACAGAAGCACAAAACTTGCACAGTGGCCTAAACAGGGCCATCTGATCAATGGCCTGGAGCGCACCCCGGTTCTGGTGGAAACAGAGGAGGCCAGAGTCAATACATGAGCCCTTTGAGGCTCCCCGGGACCCCCGCCATCCACCCAAGGGCAGGGCACCTGCAGCAGAGTGCTGGCGGCCCCACCCAGAAGCAGGACTGGAGACTGAGCTATCTGGGCATTCTTCACTGCAGTCACCGTGTTGGTGAGGCCAGGGCCCGCTGTCACTGCTGCTACGCCCACGGTCCCTGAAATACAGAATCCATCACGGCCCTGCCCTCCCTCCTGGCCACCTCTGAAAAAACTCTGCCCTGCAAAGACTTCCCATCCCATTCTCACCAGCCCTCCGCCCTCTCTGCTCTGCCCTCACCGGTCAGGCGGGCCACAGCATCGGCGGCAAAGACAGCTGTGACTTCGTGGCGTGTGTCTACCACGCGGATGCCCAACTTCTCACAAGCCACCAGTATGGGGGAAATGTGCCCGCCGACCAGGGTGAAGAGGAACCGGACGCCGTGGGCCCTCAGCACAGCTGCCACATTCTCCCCGCCATGCTGGATGCTCGCCTTGTCCACCTGGGCCCACGGAGGGAGAGGAGCACAATTACCAAGGACCAGGGCAAGAGCGCCAAGGCAGACAGGGAGAGGGCACTCTCACTCCCCCAGGAAGGAGGGCAGGACAGAGTCAGGGGTCAGAGGAACTTTGATATCGGTGAGGCACATATCATACTATACACAAGGCCCAGAGTAGGGCAGGCCGTCCTTGTACAGCTAAGGGAACCAAGACTTGCCCTGGCAAGATTCAAAGTCCCATAGAACCAAGGCTCTTGAGCGCCCCCTTCTGTTACACTGCCTGTCTCCGGGGACAGTAGGCCAATGAGCGAGAGGAGAGGGAAAGTGGATCCCCAGAACCCAAAGTAGTTTGGCCAGGGGCCATCTGCTGAGACTCCAAAACTGCCTGCCCTCCAGGACCTAGTGGCAACTGTTGATCCCAGCCCGCTACGCTTCCTCCCACTCACTGGGCAGGCCCCGCTGACAGGCTGCCAGCCACTAAGCACCTGGCAAGGGAGCGGCCTGCTGACACAGAATATGCTGAGGCTTCTGAGCCTCGGCTTGTTCCCAGCCCCGCACACCAGAGGCCTTTGCCTTAAATCTCCAGAAATCCTCAAGGCCAGTGACCTTGCTCCCGTTGCTATTGGGAGGGGGAGGGGTGGACTCCTGAGGGAGGAGCCAAGCAGTTCAGAGTGAGATCCGTGGGGTCAGCTGTTCCCCAAAAGGCCACCTGTGACAAGTTACCACACAAACTCTCTGAGCCTCAGTCTTCTCTTGTGGAAAATGAGTACAGAAACAAAAGCACCTCTAGGGGACGCGTTGAGAAGTACATGACATCTCTCACAGCTACCCCTTCTGGTGCTACCTTTGGCCCACTCTGATCACGTCGGGTTTAGGGAGCTGCGCTCAGTGAAAAGGGCTCTTGGCCTCTGGGGAAGGAGTAGGCGGGGTTGCTGAGTACCCGGCAGCTACCGCCCGATTTATCTCTGCCTACAGGCAAAGTCCAGGGACCTGTCTGCAGACTGCCCAAGCGTTAAGGGCCGTAGACAGAATTTCCCAACCGAGCCCCCTAGATTGGTCGGGCCTCACTTTCTCCTGTAAAATAAGTGAGCTAGGAGTGCCAGGAGCTCCTTCCTTCTTTGGCTGCCCCCAGCCCGCCGCTGACCTATGCCCCCGCACCTTGTGCATCAACTGATAGAAGAGCCCCAGGCGGTGCGCGCAGCCCAGCAGGGCGGCCACTAGCGTCCCGCAGGCCAAGAGCAGGAAAGAGGGGAAGAAGCTGCCAGCAGGGGCGGCGGCCGTGAGGGTCTCCATGACTCGCCACCTGAAAGAGAAAGGACAGTGCCAGCAGCTAGGCGCAGCGATCTTTTCCGGAAGAAGGTTCCCCGGCCACAAGGCTCCCGGGCCACGCCTCTTCTCGCCAGTTTCGGCGCAGCCACGCCACCTACGCGGTTAGGCTCTGGGCGAGGCCACGCCTCTTGGGGGCCAGGCCACGCCTCCCGCGGCGCCAGCCCCCTTCCTTACGTCACCACCAGCACCAAAAATTGGCCACCACAGGCAGTTTTGGCCTCAAAATAGTGCTTCACACTTACCTGTTTCTCAAAGAATAGATGGGAAGCCCCGCCTCTTTTACACCTGGGTCCAAATCTCAGCCCCAATGGTGAGCCCGCCCACACCAAGTCTACGCCACCTGGAAGGACGAGGCCACGCCCCCAAGCTAGCGGGCGCGCCCATCCCTTAAAGCTAGACCTCTGCCCTCTGCGAGCGCCCGAGTCTGACACCGGCCCCAGGCCGTGGGTCAAAGTCACATCGCAACAGGAGGCTTCTCTGACCCCCAGGATACTTCGGCCTTCACCTACGGGAAATGGCGCTGACTCCAGAGGAATTCGGTGCCCTTCATGTCACGTGACCCAAACGCGCGGCTTGAGGGGGCCGGGCTCCGAGCCTGCAGCCTTGTCCCTTTCTCTCACTTGGGTCTGCGGCGCCCCGTAGTCCGGCCTGAGACGCACGCGCAAAGCTGTAACCACGCTCTGGGTTACAAGCATCTCCTATAAAAGCCCCGTCCCTACAGGCCGCCTCAGCACAAGTCCCGCCCTCCCCCGCCTCTCATTGGCTCGCACTGCAGGCCTAACCCCTTTCTTTACATGAGACCACGCCCCTTGGCATTTTGTATAAGCCGCGACCGTGGGGAGCCGGCTTTCCACGGCCTTCCGTTGGCCCCCACGTTCCTGTCCGTAGTGTTCGGGCCTTCCAGCGAGCCAGCTTTCACACCAGCCGTGCCGAATGCCCCTCAGGTCGGCCAGACCGGGACGTCACACGTCGCTCCCCAGATCCACCGTCTGCAACCACATCCCAAACAAGCCCGCCCCTCGCCCTTGCACAGGCCCCGCCTCCCATCCCACCAGAACCCTACAAGGGCAGAGCTTCGCCCCCAGCTCGTAGGCTCGCCTCTGCGGTTGGCCCCACCCCCGCAGGCCCCGCCTTCTTTCCCAGACCTTGAGGAGTTTCTGCCCCGAGTGCAAGGGAGGAGACGCTTCGACGCCAGTGGTCCTTGGCTCCAGCCATCTGGCCTCTAGAGAATGATCTCTCCACCAGCGATGGGGAAGTAATTCTGGTACTGAGCACCCTGCTTCCTTCCAAAACAAATCTAGTTGTTTCTCGGCCTTTTAGCTAAGATCAAGTGTAGTAACTGTTGTCAGATAAACATCAGATACGTCCCCTATCCGAGGGTAATATATTAAATGGATTTTTGGAGCAGAGAGTTGGAATAGGAGCTTGCTCCGCCCACTTCACCCATCCACGTGGTACTGCAGTACATCCAGGAACACTGCACCCGCCTGTGGGGGGAGAAGATAAAGATTGTACCATTTTAACATTGGCCCTCATCCCTTGTCAACTTCAGGGATTTCCCTCTGAGGATTACACCCTGTTGTTAATTTTGTCTTATGTTGAAATCATTCCTACTTTTCATTTCACCCATTAAAAGAAAGAAAAGAAAAGGAAACCCCTTTGCCCCACATTTTCCACTTATTACTGTCCCTTTGCACTTTAAAAAAAATTTTTTTTAATGTTTACTTATTTTTGAGAGAGAGAGAGAGAGTGTGTGTGTGTGTGAGTGGGAGAGGAGCAGAGAGAGAGGGAGATACAGAATCCCAAGCAGGCTCCAGGCTCTGAGCTGTCAGCACAGAGCCCAACACGGGGCTTGAACTCACAAACTGTGAGATCATGACCTGAGCTGAAATCGGACGCTTAACCCACTGAGCCACCAGGCGCCCCTGCCTTTGCATTTCTTTTTAGCAAAATTCCTCCAGTGAGTTATCTACATCTGCTGTCTCCATAAGACCTCCATCTATTCCCTCTTCAACCCACTCCAACCAGACTCCTCCCCGCCACCCCATGAGAGCTGTTCAGGAGTATTCCAAGAGTTTCCAAACCCCTCCCTCTCCCTCCTGTCTCTCATCTACCAGCTCAACCCCACACTCCCTGTATATAATTAACAGGATAAAATACAAACTTCCTGGACAGGCCTTCCAGTTGCAATTAAATTCCGAAAGCCAATAATGAAACAGTGATCATTTTTGTTAAGCACTTATTACATATAAGGGCTTGTTCCATACTCTTTGCATTAACTCATTTTATCCTCACAACAGCCCTGTAACGTAGTTTATGTTATTAATCTCTCCATTTACAGGTGAGGAAACTGAAACACAGAGAGGTTAAGGAACTTGCTCAAGGTCACACAGCTTGTAAGTGATAGAGGCACAATGTGAACTCCAGCCGTGCTGCCCCCAGCCTGGGAGGACCTCAAGAACAGGTACTGTGCTTCAACCACATGGCTTCTCCATGCTTGTCACAGGGTATAGCATTTGAGGACCACCCAGACACCCTTGCACTTAACATTGGATTTTATTCTAAGTGAATTGGAAGGCCAGAGAGGATTTTGAACAGCCTAAGTCACACCAAACCTGCACACAATTTTTCAGAGGGGCTTTATTGGTAATAGCCAAAAGCTAGGAAAAAACCAAATGTCCCTTGTGAAAATCAGTAGAATGAAACCTCATTTAAAATGGAGCTGGGAGGCTAGAAGGGGAGCTCACACACCCTACCACTCACCATCAACTGTAAACTAAGCATTGAAGGACTTACCTTGCAAGTCTTGAGAACAAATACCACTGAACTACTCCAGCAGAAGGAAGAAAGGTCTTTCTCCTCCCCCAGCAACAGCCCGACCAAGGAGAGACTGTGACCCCACAGCCAACGAAAAAGCCACTATACTTTGAACTCCCAGTTAACTCCAATGGACTTTTGGTTTATAGCAGCTCCTCCCAACCCTCCCTTTTCCTCTCTAAAGAACTTTCCTTGCCCATGTGCCTCAGACTTGCCTGTAGATTGCGGTGGCCTAGGTATCATGAATTGCAATTTTCTGGTCTTCCTGAATAAGCCCATTTTTGCTGATAAATAACTGACAGTTTTATTTTATTTTTTTAAGTGGTGTATTCATTTATTTTGAGAGAGAGAGAGTGAGCGAGCAGGGGAGAGGCAGAGAGGGGAAGGAAGAGAATCCCAAGCAGGTTCCACACTGTCAGCGTGGAGCCCGAAGTAGGGCTTGAACTCATGAAATGTGAGATCATAAACAGCCGAAATCAAGAGTCAGATGCTTAGTCCGCTGAGGCACCTGGGGCCCCCAACTGACAGTTTTATTTTTAAGGTTAATGCCTTCAATAGGTGAGTGGTTAAACTGTGATCCACCCATAGCATGGAACACAACTCAGCAATAGAAGGCAAGCTACTGAAACACACAACGACTTAGATGAATCTCAAAATAATGATGCTCAGAGAACAGCTGTGTGGTTGCCAGAAGTTGGGGTGGGAGGAGGGAATGGGGGTGAAAGTGGTCAAAAGGTACAAACACCTAGTTAATAGATAAATAAGTCCTGGGGATGGAGACCACAGTTACCAGTATTATATCATAGATCTGAAAGTTGCTAAGAGAATGGGTTTTAAAAGTTCTCATCATGGGATGCCTGGTGGCTCAGTCGGTTAAGCGTCCGACCTCGGCTCAGGTCACCATCTCGCGGTCTGTGAGTCTGAGCCCCACGTCGGGCTCTGTGCTGACAGCTCAGAGTCTGGAGCCTGTTTCAGATTCTGTGTCTCCCTCTCTCTCTCTCTCTCTCTCTCTCTCTCTCTGACCCTCCCCTGCTCATGCTCTGTCTCTATCTCTCTTTCTCAAGAATAAATAAACATTAAAATTTTTAATAAATAAATAAATGAATAAATAAATGTTCTCATCACAAGGAAAAAAATTGTAATTCTGTGAGGTGATGGATATTAACTAACTGTGGTCATCATTTTGCAATATATAGGTATATCAAATCATTAGTCGTGGACCTTAAAGTACAATGGTATATGTCAATTTTACCTCAAAAACAAACAGGCTGGGGGAGAGTATTCTCTATCCACAAGCTAAACACCCATACAAAGTTATGCTGAGTGAAGGAAGTCAGTCTCAAAAGGTTACATACTATATGATTCCATTGATACAATATTCTGTAAGTGACAAAACCAGAGGACAGATAAGTGGTTTCTGGGGACTAGGGGAGGATGTGACTATAAAGAGGGTCACACAAGGGAGTTTTCTGGGATGATGTTCTGTACCTGGATGACGACGGCAGTGGCATGTGTTAAAATTCATTGACTTGTACACTAAAAAAAAAATCTATTTTAATATATCATACTTTTAAGTTACACATATAATTGCATACACATGCGTGTATAGAGAGAGATATACACACACAATGTAAACAGTTTTTTTAAGATACATTAGCAGGGGCACCTAGGCGGCTCAGTTGGTTAAGTGTCTGACTTTTTTTTTTAATTTTTTAAATTGGTTTTAATTTGTTTTAATTTTTTTAATTTACATCCGAATTAGTTAGCATGTAGTGCAACAATGATTTCAGGAGTAGATTCTTTAATGCCTCTTACCCAGTTAGCCCATCCCCCATCCCACAACCCCTCCAGTAACCCTCTGTTTGTTCTCCATATTTATGAGTCTCTCATGTTTCATCCCTCTCCCTGTTTTTATATTATTTTTGCTTCCCTTCCATTGTGTTCATCTGTTCTGTGTCTTAAAGTCCTCATATGAGTGAAGTCATGATATTTGTCTTTCTCTGACTGACTAATTTCACTTAGCATAATACCCCCCAGTTCCATCCACGTAGTTGCTAATGGCAAGATTTCATTCTTTTGATTGCAGAGTAATACTCTTTTGTATATAAATACCACATCTTCTTTATCCATTCACCCATCCACGGACATTTGGGCTCTTTCCATACTTTAGCTATTGTCAGTAGCACTGCTATAAACATTGGGGTGCATGTGCCCCTTTGAAACAGCACACCTCTATCCCGTGGATAAATGCCTAGTAGTGCAATTGCTGGGTCGTAGGATAGTTCTATTTTTAGTTTTTTGAGGAACCACCATACTGTTTTCCAGAGTGGCCGCACCAGCTTGCCTTCCCAAAGTGTCTGACTCTTGATTTCAGCTCAGGTCGTGATTCCAGGGTCATGGGATCCAGCCCCACATCTGGAGCCTGCTTGGGATTCTCTCTCTCTCTCTCTCTCTCTCTCTCTCTCTCTCTCCCTCTGCCCCTCTCTCTGGTTTGTGCGTGCTCACTCTCTAAAATTAAAAAAAAAATTTTTTTTAAGATACACTAGCAGAAATAAGACTAAGAAAAACAAATACCATCTGATTTCACTTATATGTGAAATCTACAAAAAAGAAGAAGGAGAAGGAGGAGAAATAGGCAAAAAGCAGAATCCGCCATATAAATAAACTGAGAGTTGCTAGAGGGAAGGGGGATAGGAGGATGGACAAAATGGGTGGAGGGGAGTGGGGGACACAGGCTTCCAGTTATGGGATGTGTAAACCACAAGAATAAAAGGCACAGAGTAGGGAACACAGTCAATGATATTGTAACAGTGTCGTGTGATGATAGCAGCTACCCTGACGTGAGGACAGCATGAGGTATGGAGATGTGGAATCACTAGACTGAACACTAACATAATACTGCATGTCAACCATCCTCAAATTTTTAAAAAATTAACCAAAGACCCACTAGCATCAAGAAATTTACCAATTTCTTGAAGTAACCCGTAGCCTTGAAAGAGAATTAGGAGAAGGAATAGGTTCCTACCTGTGCGGCGCCAAGTTTTCTTGAACACCACATGCAGGAAATATTACTGTTAGACGCTTCACATTTGGGGAAGCAGTGACCTTGCCAGGCCTTCATATTCTCATCAAGCCTCATTTATGAGTTCCAGAGACAGCATAGGGTCTGAAAATGGCAAAGAGAGATCATCAGTTCAATTGCTGCATGTAATGACCTCCAAGAGAAGGAGAAGGGAAGGGACCCTCCCATGTCTCCAAGAGTGGTTCGCAGGTAAACGGGTCCAGATCTCCAGATCCTGGTTCAGTGGCCAGTGTTTCTAAATGCTCATACGTAAAATGAACAAATCAGGAGACTATAGATGCTGGAGAGGATGTGGAGAAACGGGAACCCTCTTGCACTGTTGGTGGGAATGCAAACTGGTGCAGCCACTCTGGAAAACAGTGTGGAGGTTCCTCAAAAAATTAAAAATAGACCTACCCTATGACCCAGCAATAGCACTGCTAGAAATTTACCCAAGGGATACAGGGGTGCTGATGCATAGGGGCACTTGTACCCCAGTGTTTATAGCAGCACTTTCAACAAGAGCCAAATGATGGAAAGAGCCTAAATGTCCATCAACTGACGAATGGTTAAAGAAATCATGCTTTATACACACAATGGAATCCTACTTGGCAGTGAGAAAGAATGAAATATGGCCTTTTGTAGCAACGTGGGTGGAACTGGAGAGTGTTACGCTAAGTGAAATAAGTCATACAGAGAAAGACAGATACCATATGGTTTCACTCTTATGTGGATCCTGAGAAACTTAACAGAAGACCGTGGGGGGAGGGGAAGAGAAAAAAAAAAGTTAGAGAGGGAGGGAACCAAATCATAAGAGACTCTAAAAAACTGAGAATAAACTGAGGGTTGATGGGAAGGTGGGAGGGAGGGGAGGGTGGGGGATGGGCATTGAGGAGGGCATCTGTTGGGATGACCACTGGGTGTTGTATGGAAACCAATTTGCCAATAAATTTCTTATAAATAAATAAATAAATAAATAAATAAATAAATAAATAAAATGCTCATACCACCTTTGAGAAGGAGCTCGAGGTACCCAGAGCTCCTTCCAAATTGCTGTAAGCCCTTCCTTGCTTCCACCTGCTTGAGCCAATGGCACCCCCTGGGGCCTCCAGCCATTCCCAGGAGGTACAAGTCATACCCGGCTCCGAGCCCCTTCTAAATGCCTAAAAATGAGGGGCGGACCTACATTTCCATCCACCCAAGCAGAGAAATGAAAGCCAGTCAGTCCTCAAGGCTGGAAAAAATAAAGTCCACAGAAACCACAAAAATAGGCATACCTCCAAGGTATCGCAGATTTAGTTCCAGACCACCACGATAAAGCAAGTCAAATGAATGTTCTCATTTCCCAGGGCGTATCAAAGCTGTGCTTACACTATAGTGTAGTCTGTTACGTGCGCAATAGCATCGTGTCTGAAATAACAAATGCACATACCTTAGTTGAAAAAGACTTTATCCCTGGGCACCTGGGTGGCTCAATCAGTTAAGCATCCAACTCTTGATTTCGGCCCAGATCGTGACTTCAGTCATGAGACTGAGCCCCACGCTGGCCCTGCACAACCAGGCATGAAGCCTGCTTGAGATTCTCTCTCCCTCCCTCTCTTTCTCCTCTTTCTAATATATATATATATATATGTGTGTGTGTGTGTGTGTGTGTGTGTGTATAATACTTTATTGCTAAAAAATGCTAACCGTCATCTGAGCCTTCTGCGAGTCGTAATCTTTTTGCTGGTGGAGGGTCCTGCCTCCACGTGACGGCTGCTGACTGATCGGGGTGGTGGTCGCTCACGGCTGGGGTGGCTGTGGCAATGTCTTAAATAAGACAGTAGTAAAGTTCGCTGCATCGAAGGAGCCCTCCTTTCACGACCAACTTCTCTGCAGCATGCGATGCTGTTTGGTGGCATTTCACCCACAGTGGGACTTCTCTCGGAATCGGAGTCCGTCCCCTCAAATCCCGCTGCCGCCGCCCCCTCCACTCTGCCTCTGTGACGTTCTGAACCCTGTGTCGTCGTTCAAACAGTCTTCACAGCATCTTCACCAGGAGCAGATTGCAGCTCAAGAAGCCTGTTTTCCTCGTCCGTTAGAAGCAACTCCTCTTCCGTTCAAGTTTTGTCACGAGACCGGAGCACTGCAGGCCTATTGTCTTCAGGCTCCACTTCGGATTCTAGTTCTCTTGCTCTTCCCACCACACCTGCAGTCACTGCCTCCACTGAAGTCTTGAACCCTCAAAGTCATCCGTGAGGGCTGGGATCCACTTCTTCCGAACTCCTGGTCACGTTGATATTTTGACCTCTTCCCATGAATCACAGATATCCTTAATGGCATCTAGAATGGTGAATCCTTTCCAGAAGGTTTCCAATTTACTTTGCCCAGATCCATCAGAGAAATCACTATGTAGCTAGCTATAGCTTTACAAAATGCATTTCCTTTAGGGCATCTGGGTGGCTCAGTCGGTTAAGTGTCTGACTTCAGCTCAGGCCATGATCTCCCAGTTCATGGGTTCAAGCCCCACGTCAGGCTCTGTGCTGACAGTTCAGAGCCTGGAACCTGCTTCGGATTCTGTGTCTCCCTCTCTCTCTGCCCCTCTCCCATTCACACACACTCTCTCTCTCTCTCAAAAATAAATAAACATTAAAAAATCAAAACATATTTATATTTTTTTTTATTTTAGAGAGAGATAGAGCATGAGTTGGGGAGAGGGGCAGAGAGAGAGAGAATCTTAAGCAGGCTCCACGCCTAGCATGGAGTCCGATGTGGGGCTCGATCCCACGACCCTGGGATCGTGACCTGAGCCAAAGTCAGGAGTTGGACACTCAACTGACTGAGCCACCCAGGTGCCCCAAAATGTATTTCTTAAAGAATAAGCTTAGAAGTCAAAATTACTCCTTAATCCATGGACTGCAGAATGGATACTGTGATTACAGGCCTGAAAACAACATTAAACTTACTTTACATCTCCATCAGTGCTCTTGGGTGACCATGCACATTGTCAACGTGCAGTCTTATTTTGAAAAGAATTTCTTGCTTGCTTGCTTGCTTGCTTGCTTTCTTGCTTTCTTGCTTTCTCTCTCTCTCTCTCTCTCTAGCAGTAGATCTCAACAGTAGATTTAAAATATTTAATAAACCATGCTGTAAACAGATAAGCTATCATCTGGGCTTTATCGTTCCACATATAGAGCATAGACAGTCAACTTAGCCTACTTCTTAAGGGCCCTAGGACTTTTGCAATGGCAAATAAGCATTGACTTCAGCTGCATTAGCCCCTAACGAGAGAGTCATCCTGTCCTCTGAAGCTTCAAGGGCAGCCATTGACCTCTCCTCTCTAGCTCTGAAAGTCCTGGATGGCGTCCTCTTCCAATCAGAAGACTGGTCTCCACGGACAACCTGCTGTTTAGACTGCAACCACCTTCGTGAATGATCTCGGCTAGATCTTCTGGATCACTCGCTGCAGCTTCTGCGTCTGCACCTGCTGCTTCGCCTTGCGCTGCCGCGTCAGGGGCGATGGCGTCTTTCCTGGAACCTCGTGACCCGACGTGTGTCTGCTGGCCTCCAACGTGAGAGCTTCCTCACCTCTCTCGGCCTTTGTAGAATTACAGGGTTAGGGCCTTGTTCCGGACGAGGCTTCGGCTTAAGGGAACGTCGTGGTGGTTTGACCTTCTGTCCAGACCTCAAACTTTCTCCACATCATCAGTAACACAGTTTTGCTTTCTTATCACTCATGTTTGTTCACCGAAGGAGCACTTTTGTTTTAATGTTTATTTATTTTTGAGAGAGAGAGACACACACACAGAGTGCAAGCAGGGGAAGGACAGGGAGAGAAGGAGACCCAGAATCCGAATCAGGCTCCAGGCTCTGAGCTGTCAGCACAGAGCCCAATGCGGGGCTCCAACCCATGAACCATGAGATCATGACCTGAGCTGAAGTCAGACGCTTAACCGACTGAGCCACCCAGGCGCCCCACATCCCACATTTCTTTCAGATTATTTGTAATCTCTCGGTTTCCCAGGGTCCTCCCAGTGGTCAAAGCTGCTAAGGGCACATACCACTTGGGACTGAATCCCGGGTGGCTCTTCAGTAGCCATGGGATATGGGGCCAATCTTTTTAAACTCTTGGACCCTTCATGTTACTCATCAGTATAATGGAAATAATAATCTTGCTTCATGGGAGGATACGATTAATGTGTTGCTACTTGTCTACCAGAATTTATTCTCAGTTTCCTCCTTTAAAAATCGAACTCCTGGGGTGCCTGGGTGGCTCAGTCAGTTAAGCGTCCGACTTCGGCTCAGGTCATGATCTCACGGTTCATGGGTTCAAGACCTGCGTCGGGCTCTGTGCTGACAGCTCAGAGCCTGGAGCCTGCTTCAGATTCTGTGTCTCCCTCTCCCTCTGCCCCTCCCCTGCTCATGCTCCATCTCTCTTTGTCTCTCAATAATAAATAAACGTGAAAAAAAAATTATTTTGTAATCAAACTCCTAAAGGGCGCCTGGCTGGCTCGGTCAGTAGAGCATGTGACTCTTGATCTAGGGGTCATAAATTCAAGCCCTATGTTAGGTGTAGAGCTTACTTAAAAAAAAAAAAAAAAAAAGTTCAGGGTGCCTGTGTGGCTCAGTTGGTTAAGCCATCCAACTTCAGTTCAGGTCATGATCTTGCAGTTTGTGAGTTCGAGCCCCGCATCGGGCTCTGTGCTGATGGCTCAGAGCCTGGATCCTGCTTCAGATTCTGTGTCTCCCCCTCTCTCTGCCCCTCTCCTGCTCACACTCTGTCTCTTTCTCTCAAAAATAAATAAACATTGGGGGGAAAATTAAAAAAAAAAAAAAAAAAAAAGAACTCCCAGGATGTGGCCCAGCACATGGCAATCCACCTAAAAACCCTGTATTCCAGATGCTGCAGTGTGGGTCATAGTTCCAGCCAAGAGAACGTGAAGAGATGTGATGATGACTACATCCACACTGTGCCCTTAAAAGGAAAGGGCAGGGGCACCTGGGTAGCTCAGTCGGTTAAGCGTCCGACTTCAGTTCAGGTCACGATCTCACAGTCCGTGAGTTCAAGCCCCGCGTCGGGCTCTGGGCTGACAGCTCGGAGCCTGGAGCCTGCTTCCGATTCTGTGTCTCCCTCTCTCTCTGACCCTCCCCCGTTCATGCTGTCTCTCTCTGTCTCAAAAATAAATAAAACGTTAAAAAAAATTAAAAAATAAAAGGAAAGGGCATGTGCTCCTTAGAGCCTAACACCCCTTCCTGTAGCCTGGGATGTAGACACAATGGTCGGAGGTAAAGACGTTACTTTGGACCCAGGGACCGAAGACACGGCTTATAAGGAAAACAGAGTCACTTTACCAGCCCCAAACCGACTGCCACCTCTAGACAGCTACATGAGCAAGACGTAACTTCTGTCGGGTTTCAGTTGCTGCGTTTTGGGGGTCTCTCTGTTACAGTAGTTCATACTGAACAATAACTAACGTAAATGTTAATGCCAGAAATGGGGTTCTGCCATAATAAAAACCCAAACTCTGAGGCATTACCTTAGCCATCAGGTAACAGATCATGAGGACACAGACGCACGGTGGGACATTGGTGACCTGTGTTATGTTAGAGCAAACCATCTGGGAAAACTGTGATGTCTTGCATGACAGACAGCCTGGCAAATAGCCAGACTATTTGTGTGTGTTTCCTACTTCCTGCCACTGTTAATAGAAACAGAGATGTGCTGGGGTAAGCCAGGATGGAAGGGACTGTAATAACATTAAGGCAGTCTCTCTCCATGCAGGTTATGATTTAAATTGACTGAGTCTGGTAATTTGGGGCCTCCCCGGGAAGCAGTGATACCAGGTGGCTCTGAGGAGACAGTTCCAGCAAGATGATGGCCCTTGCTCAACAGCCTGAAGAAGATGCCAAGGCCCAAGGCAAGAGGGCAGCATTTGGGTTTAAGAACGCTATCAGATGGGGGCGCCTGGCTGGCTCAGTCGGTTAATCATCCAACTCTTGATTTCAGCTCAAGTCATGATCTCCCCATTCATGAGTTCGAGCCCCAAATCGGGCTCCGTGCTAACATCTCAGAGCCTGGAGCCTGCTTCAGATTCTGTGTCTCCCTCTCCCTCTGTTCCTCCCATGCTAACAACTCAGAGCCTGGATCCTGCTTCAGATTCTGTGTCTCCCTCTCCCTCTGTTCCTCCCCTGCTCAAGCTCTATCTCTCTCTCTCAAAAATAAAGATTAAAAAAAAAAAAAGGTTAAGGCAGTCAATTTTATGTCCAGTGTATTTCACCACAATAAAAGAAATGGGCGGGAAAAACTGTGTCCAGGGAAATCTTTGGCTGTACTTGCTTGTACTTGGAGCTGCCTGGACACACGAAGCTGGGGCGCCAGCTAAATATTTTAGAGAAACTGTAAGATAAAAGACTGTTGACTGATTGGCTTATAAAACAATGCCCCAAGGTTGTACCCTAAGGTCCCCCAAACCATAGCCGCAGGGAATGAAATGAGAAAGCTCGAGAAGTGGTGATGAGGGCCAGAGGTCAGTGAGGAGCCTCACACAGGGCGGAGCCCAGGACCCGGGAAGACAAGGGACCGAGAACTGGCAAGCGGAGGAGTCTCACAAGCCCCGCCTAACAAGAACGCTAAGTTGCTAATTTCAGTGAGGTCTGTGTGTCTCCCGCGCTTCTGCTGAAGCTTTGTCGTCGTCATTGTCTTCGTCATCGTTGTTCACTGCGGTTGCAACATTTATCCCACATCTAAATTGGGTTTTTCTTAAGTTCCTAGGTCGCCGGAACACGAGAAGCCACTACAGGGCTTGAAAGACCCCTCCTATTTCAAACACTGTGCGGTGAACAGAGGAGTCGTGTGGGGCTGCAGCCCCGGACGTGTATGAGAAGGAGGGGTGCGTGGGTATCATACTGTGCTGAATACAGTGGTACCAGTCTTTCTCGTTCTGCCTGTCTAGGGAGGTGCCTTCAGATGGTTCAGTATCAGGATATTTGCGAGGCAAACAAACCCTCCTCTCGCTAATGCTGACTGTGTAACTTTGCACTTCGTTCGTCAGTTTCAGCCGTGGTAAAATACACATAACACAAAATTTGCCATCTTCACATGTAACCCACTTACACGTTTGCGGGTCCGGTTCAGTGGTGTGAAGTACGTTCGCGTGGTTGTGCGACCATCCCTGCCGTCCCCCTGTCCTTGCGTGGCCGGCTGGTTTCATTTAGCATCATGTCCGCGCGTCCTCAAGGTCCGTTCTTGTTGCAGCCTGTGTGAGAATGTCCTTCCCTTTTAAGGCTGAATGATGATAATATTCTATGGACACACCACATGTTGCTCATCCACGTATCTATTGGTGGACAGTTGCGTCCAACTTTTGGCCATTGTGGAAAACGCTGCAGTGAACGTGGGTATTCACATATGTCTCTGAAACCCTGCTTTGATTCTTTTAGATAAATACCCAGAAGTAGAATCACTAGAAAATCCTACTTTCAATTTGCTGAGGAACCGCCACACTGTTTTCCACGGTGGCTGCACCATCTCGCATTTGCACCAACAGGGCATAAGGATTCCAATCTCTCCACATCCTGGCCAACGCTTGCCATTTTCAGGGGGATGGCGGGGGGGGGGGTGTCCTAACCATCCTAATAGATGCGATCAGGGGCGCCTGGGTGGCGCAGTCGGTTGGGCGTCCGACTTCAGCCAGGTCACGATCTTGCGGTCCGGGAGTTCGAGCCCCGCGTCGGGCTCTGGGCTGATGGCTCAGAGCCTGGAGCCTGTTTCCGATTCTGTGTCTCCCTCTCTCTCTGCCCCTCCCCCGTTCATGCTCTGTCTCTCTCTGTCCCAAAAATAAATAAACGTTGGAAAAAAAAATCTAATAGATGCGATCATATAACTTTTAAGTCATCATTTTGTCTAGACTCATTCTTTCTTGGACTTTTGCAGTTTTTCCCTCAGCAAAGAGAGAGGATGAAAGTCCTATCCTGCCACAAACACACGCATCAAATTCCATTTTCCCAAAAAGGGGGATTAAGGCAGCCCAGTAACACTAAAGGAACACTACAATCCATGATTCCCAACACGGTGTTCGTGTATTATGGTAACTAATTGGTTTCTAGAACAATCCCCGAGGGTCCCCCAAAATTCTACTAGCAGGAAGTGAGCTGAGAAAAGCTTCAGGAGTGGCCATGGGAGACACAAATCAGCAAGGAGACTCTCATAGGTAAAAACTAGATTTGGAAAGAAACTGGGCCATCTTTAGTCCCTTTAACTTTCCAAATCTTGACTCTCAGTCCTATGCCCCTTGGTAGTGGCAGTGGGTGTGGTGGGAGGTATCACAATTCTTCAAACAACTGTTTATACAAAAGACTTATCTGATACTATGGAAGTCGCCCAAGTGCCCATCAATAGATGAATGGATAAAGAAGTGATGTATACATATACACTGGAATATTACTCAGCCATCAAAAGGAATGAAATGTTGCCATTTGCAACAATGTGGAAGGAACTGGAGGGTATTATGCTAAGCGAAATGAGTCAGTCAGAGGAAGACACATATCCTGTGATCTCATACGTGGAATTTAAGAAAGAAAACAAAGAAGCAAAAGGAGAAAAAAGAGAGAGAAATCGAGAAACAGACTCTTAACCACAGAGAGCACACTGATGGTTACCACAGGGGAGGTGGGGGGTGTGGGTGAAACAGGTGATGGGATTAGGGAGCGCACCTGTCACGGTGAGCACTGGGCGATGTATGGAAGTGTCCAATCACTATATTGTACACCTGAAACTAATATTACATTGTATAGTAACTGGAATTTAAGTAAGAACTTTTTTAAACAACATGTTAACGTTTATTTACGTAAACATGAGAGAGACAGAGACAGCACAAGTCGGGGGGGAGGGCAGAGAGAGAGAGAGAATCCCAAGCAGTCCCCACACTGCCAGCCTAGAACCCGATGTGGGACTTGAATTCACCAACCATGATCATGACCTGAACTGAAGCCAACAGGTGGATGCTGAATTGACCGAGCCACCCCAAAAGAAACATTTTAAGAAATCTTATCTGATAAAGGACTGTCATCCAAAACATACAAAGAAAGCAGAAAACTCAGTAAGAAAAAAAATTAATGGTTAAAATGACAAAATTTTGGTTACTTCAATTTTACCACCATATTTTTTTTTTTTTAATTCTCCCTACTTTCCCTCCCATCATACAACACGGACAGAACAGGTCCAATGGGAAGAGAAGCTAGACAATCGTGGACACAACTGCATTTCAGGCTTCGATCCTGACAGGAAAAACAACCAAGGGCAGGCAGCCTGGGGCTGGTTCAAGGCCCAGAACCAGGAGCAGAAAACCGGGGCCCCCACGTGGGTCCCGCGATCACCGAGGACCGCAGGAGGTGGCAGATGGCCACACAGCGGTCCTAACCCAGCAGGGCGAGGAAGAAGCAGCCCTCGCCCCTAAAAGATAGGAGAAGGCTCTGAGCGAGAGAGACCAAAGGAAGCGATGCCTGAGCCCCTGCCCAGCCCGCCTCGCAGCCAACACTCGCTGGGCAGGATTCGCGGCGCCACCTGCTGGTGACCTTGCTGCACTGCAGACGGCCCTGCATGCCCGCCAAGTCCAGAACAAAAGGAAGGACCAGGCGGCCTTTCCCTGGACTCCACGGTGGGTCTCAGCCCCTGTCAACTGCCTCACTGGATAGGCGATTTCATTCAAGGTTGTGGGAGGGCCCCCGGCTTCCAGGTGGGGAGACTGCGCGTCAGGAGGGGTACACGTCCATGAAAAAGCTACAGAGGGTGATGTGGATGGGCGGTCTACTTGAAAACCCCGCGGCTGCGCGCCAGGCTCAGCCGCAGAGCCACCCGCACCTCCTTGTTGCGCAGGGTGTCCACCACGGGGTTCAGCAGCGGCGTCACCACCGTGTAGAGCACAGCCACCAGGCGGTCCTGGTCGGGCTTTCCTCCGCACTCGGGCCGCGGGTAGATGATGGAGGCGCGGCCAAAATGCACAATGACCACGGCGAGGTGAGGGTGGAGAAGGCCTTGCGCCGGCCGGCTGCCGAGGGGATGCTCGCAACGGCGGCCGCGATGAAGGCGTAGGACAGCAGGATGAGGAGGAAGGAGACCAGCACCACGAGGATGCTCAGGAAGAAGATGGCCGTTCCCCTGCGGCCGCTGTCGGAGCAGCTGAGCTTCAGGACAGGGACGATGTCACAGAAGTGCTCCACGAGGCCGCTGCGGCAGAAGGACGAGGAGAAGATCATGCTGGTCTCAATCAAGGCCATGGAGAACCCGGAGCAGAAAACCAGGCCTCCCAGGCAGAGGCAAACCGTGGGTCTCATGATCACCGAGGGCCGCAGCAGTTGGCAGATGGCTACCTAGCGGTCATAACCCATCAGGGTGAGGAGGGAGCAGTGGCTGCATCCCAAGCCCAGGAAGAAGCACATCTGGGCCCAGCAGCCGGGGATGGAGATGGCCTGGCTCTCCAGGAGCTGATGAGCCAGCATGTCGGGGATGGTGATGAGCGCGTAGCAGGAGACGGGGACAAGCACTGCCAGGAAGCCGCACATGGGAGTGTGAAGGGCCCGATCCGTGGGGATGATGGTGATGATGGTGACGTTGCCCCCGGGGGTCACCAGGCATGTGACGAAGAACAGTGCAAAGAGGGTAGTTCTCAGGTCGGGGAGGTGGGAGAAACCCATCAGCACAAACTCGGTCACCAGCTGAAAGGGTTGTTCTGTGTCCTTCACCTTGACCACGCCTCCTGCTCTTGAGTAACCTCCCGCTCACCTGCCTAACAGGACTCCGACCCTTCCCCAGCCAATCCGCTGAGGCCACAGCCATTACCTCACCAACTGCCCCCAGGCCCCAATAAAACCTTTGTGCTGTTGAAACTCGCTCTCGCCCTGGTATCACCGCTGCGGCGGTGCAGGTAGGGGATGGAGCTCGAGCTAGCTCGAATAAAGGCTCTTTGCTTTTGCATCGGACTCGGCTCCCTGGCGGTCTTTGGGGATCACGAACTCTGGGC